AATAAAGGCGCTATATAAGTACATGCCATGTACGTCATATGCTTCGTTGATCTGATTGGTTTATTTGGCCCGTCTATCACCAACATAGGCCAATCAGCTAACCAGTATTTTCGCCCCTTCCCAAAATTACTTCTACGGAAGGTTTCCAGATGGATATGCGGAGCAAATCCATCTGACGGAGTCAGGATACCTATCTCCAGCTGTCAGTAGGCGAGAGGCGGGGTCCACCCTGGATAGGTCGCCAGTCCATCGCAGAGCAACACAGAGACAAACAGGACAAACAACCATTCACACACAATCACACCTAAGGAGAATCTAGAAAAGCCAATTAACCTAACAGTCATGTTTTTTTTTGGACAGTGGGAGGAAGCTGGAGTACCCGGAGAGAACCCACGCATGCTCAGGGAGAACATGCTAACTCCTTGCAGAAAGAAACCGGACTGAGATGAGAGAGATGGGAGAGAAATATTCAAAGATCTCTGTACCTTTTCATCTTGATCTTTATCCAAAAATAAACAGAATGCAATGAAATATTTGCTTTGGACATAATTTATAGATTCATTTTGGTAGAAATTAACGAATATTTAGCATCACCTCTTGTGAGCTGGAAGAAATAAAGCATTAATAGACTAAAGGATATTTTACGCTTGGCAGAAGATGATCAGCCACATATAGTTTATTAAGTAGCGAGAGCAGGAAGATGAGTGAAATGAACAATCAAGACAAGATCATCCAGTCAAATTGATCCAAAATTTTCTATCTAAGGAAAACCAGTTGATTGCATCCACTGATTGACTATTCAGCAATCCCTCACACTGAGAATGCTTGTAGCAACAGTGGAGAGACATTACTAATAGCATTCACTTTACTGTTTTTTCCACACATTCCTCACATCTTAAAGGAAAGTTACTGACCAATAAATTCAAAGGAACAATGACAGACAACAACTCAGTAAACTGTAAATTTACGCGTGTTAATCATTGAACGGAGAGAAGACAAAGACGGCACAGCGATGAGACTCATGTCAGATTTCAGCTTTGATGCCTCGACCAAAGGTTCTTCAAAGGATCTCTATGCTTTATGACTCACTGTGACTCTTCAACATCCTCCACTGGAACAATGGTGACTTCCAGAAAACAATATGTGGTTTCCAGGCCGGTGTACTCTGAGGACAGCCTCGCTGAAGATCATGAGAAGATTCAGAGGAAACACAAAGCTCTCACTGCCCATGTTAAGGAATATTTAACGTAAGTGTTCCCACAGACTCATCGGAGATCTCCACATTGATCTTCTGCTGCAGGGTTCCTGCTCTCATCTCACATAAACTTGTGTTTTTCATTTGATTGAAACAGCTGTGATGCAAAGCGGGCCAAAGCAGCGGTTCTCTCTGCTCTGCCTGTCATTGGCTGGATGAGGAGCTACAGAGTCAGAGAGTGGCTGGTGGGGGATGTTGTGTCTGGGGTCAGCACTGGACTGGTGGCCATCATGCAGGGTGAGGAGATCAATT